TACAATGCGCAAAACATACACCTTAAACTTTATCGCACAGTGTAACGTTGATCGAATCAACTTCAAAGACTAACAGAAGGTTAATGTCTCGTCCAAAAATATCAACAAATAAGCCAAAATCAGTAATCAGTAGAAAAATTATTGAGATTGAAGGATATCGTGTGATGCACGATTTTATTGATGGCAATAGAGCAAGATCGGATTCCCAGCAGGCGCGACTTCCTATCATTCAAATGGACCGTTTTCGCAGATTAGCGGATATTAGCGGCTAATTATTACATAATATCATTCCTGATAGTGTACAGGAGGCAACCCAACAAAGGATTTTGCGGACACTTGTGGACATTTTTTTATCGAGGTATTTTAACAGTTTTTTGGGCGTTTTTTTTAAAGCAAGCTTTGGAGGTGGTTTTGGTCCTCCTAAAAATATGCCAATGCACATTCATGATATACCAAAATGTTCCTTAAAGGGAGGAGAATAAGCATGTTTAATTGAAATTTTGATAAATCTGCCACAGAACTCATGCAAAAGCAAAATAAAACCTTGAGAATTAGACGGCAAATTTGATACCACCTGCAATGTCAGCTTTAGACAACCCGCATGTCAAAGCGGAAGGGTTCAAAGATCCTAGAACCGTGGATACATTCATTTTGGAAGCTTAACTACTAGAAAACCAAGAAAAAATATTTAAAATCAGACTTTTTTTTTCGTCGCCCATGACCGACCTCTACCATTGACTCGATCCACCGTGCGCCAGTCCGCCAAAACACGTGTGATGGGACGAGATAACACCTGAACAGGATTAAACCATACAGGGTTATCCAGAAGTCCGGGACCCCCCTTATAACTTTTGAACAAAAAATGCCAGAGATTTGAAATTTGGGGAATGTTCTTGGGTCAAAGGGAACTACTTTTTGGCGTACCCAAAATTTTGGGGGGCGCCCCCCTGAGGGGGGGCGGACCCTAACTTTTTTTTTTTCAAGTAGGAACCCCTATCTTGTGATACACCATTCGAATGAGCTTAAAAAAAGAAAAATTTTGCCGCAAACCGATTGTCGATACCTCAATTTTTAACAAAATGGCGGCCAAAAAATGGCGGCTCATTCAAAAGTCTGGGCCTCCGCTCATAACTCATGGACAAAAAATGCTAGGGATTCGAAATTTGGGGAATATTCCTAGGTGAAAGGGAACTACTTTTTGGCGTACCCAAAATTTCGGGGGGTGGCTCCCCCGAGGGGGGGGGGCGGACCTTAACCCTTTTTTTCAAATAGGAACCCCTATCTTGTGTTACATCATTCGAAAGGGCTTGAAAAAAGAAAACTTTTGGCGCAAATCGATTTTTAACAAAATGGCGGAAATGCGTTTTTTGGTTGTTTGCCGTCGGATTCGCTTGAAACTTGGTTTCCACAGGTTTTCGAGCACGAAAAAAACAAATACGATATTGGATTTGCAAAATACCCGAGCTTTTTCAAGGTGGTGGCCAAGATGGTGAGTAATTTCAATTAACGCAACGCGTTAACGCGTTTTAGCAAACGCTATTAAAATGTGCCTCAGCGGTCGGGTGGAAGGGGAGGCACGGGTGGGACTCGACGCGTAGCCATCTCCCCGTGGTGAGTCCTGGGTAGTTGAAATGACAAGTCAGGAAACACGATTTTCAACTGGCTGAGAGCAACGCACAGGAAATCTGACACATTCCGATTTAAACTTATTTTCCCGCCATTTTTCGGCCGCCATCTTGGAAAAGCTCGGGTATTTTGCAAATCCAATATCGTATTTGTTTTTTTCGTGCTCGAAAACCTGTGGAAACCAAGTTTCAAGCGAATCCGACGGCAAATAACCAAAAAACGCATTTCCGCCATTTTTTGGCCGCCATTTTGTTAAAAATTGAAGTATCGACAATCGGTTTGCGCCAAAAGTTTTCTTTTTTCAAGCTCTTTCGAATGATGTAACACAAGATAGGGGTTCCTATTTGAAAAAAAAGGGTTAAGGTCCGCCCCCCCCCTCGGGGGAGCCACCCCCCGAAATTTTGGGTATGCCAAAAAGTAGTTCCCTTTCACCTAGGAATATTCCCCAAATTTCGAATCCCTACGATTTTTTGTTCATGAGTTATGAGCGGAGGCCCAGACTTTTGAATGAGCCGCCATTTTTTGGCCGCCATTTTGTTAAAAATTGAGGTATCGACAATCGGTTTGCGCCAAAAGTTTTCTTTTTTCAAGCCCATTCGAATGATGTATCACAAGATAGGGGTTCCCATTTGAAAAAAAAAGTCAGGGTCCGCCCCCCCTCAGGGGGGGCGCCCCCCAAAATTTTGGGTACGCCAAAAAGTAGTTCCCTTTGACCCAGGAACATTCCCCAAATTTCAAATCTCTAGCATTTTTTGTTCAAAAGTTATAAGGGGGGTCCCGGACTTCTGGATAACCCTGTATAACAATCGGCGTGTTTACGTTCATATTTTCCTCGCCCGCCTTAATTGACCTTGAACTCTCCTCGAATTACGCGAGGAACTGCGCAAGCGTCAGCCATGACGAATATTGCCGACGATGGAGCGACTCCTCTAACAAAATGTTCACCTGTGTAGTAGTATCGTTTTTGAAGCGGGAAGCTCAAAATAACGCAAATTTCTTACGCAGATTGTGAAGTTATGAGTGCATTTCAGACTTTGCCGATGCGCTCATCGTGATTTTTGAGGCATTATCTATAGGAAACAACTCTTCATTCTGCTCTAGCAAAAGTTTGCAACAGGCCCATTATGATTTAGTTTTTAGCTTTGGCGATGCACGTGTTCACGCCGTCACCGCCGTGAAAACTAGCAGCTCATATCCCGAATTGTCGCTCCTCGGCCTGCGTTCCGCGGCCGGTGCCTTCTCCGCTTCCCCGCGCCCGGAGCCTCTCCCGCGTCGCGGCCCCCGCGCGTCGCCTGCGGCTATCTTGCGCATCTCCACCGCCCGCGCTGATGACCCCGCCGTGCGTCACCTCCGCACTCAAGGCTGCGTCACGCTCCTCCGCCATGCTCGGCGCTTGCCTCTAGCACCCGCTATCCGCGCCGCTGGCCCTGCTTCCGTCACCCGCGCCGCGGTTGCGTCACAGCATCATGGGAGCAGCGCGCGCTGCCTCCTCTCCTGCCCTTGCGACCATGCGTATGCCGTTCGCACTTCCCACGTTACGCAACGGCACGTGTCGCGGCACGTGATCCATCCATCTCGCTCCTACGCATTGAGGCAAGCGGTCGTCTCCTCTCACTCTGGCGGGTATAAATACGGTACCGTGACCTGCTCCATCCGTCACTTCCATCGCCACTTCCATGAGAGACGCTCTCGCGGCACATCTTGCTTTGACCAGCTCCCGAGAGTTCCTCTCCAGGGCACTTCCTTGAGAGACACTCTCGCGGTACATCTTGCTTTGACCAGCTCTCGAGAGTTCCTCTCTAGGTCACGCCGCACCGGCCACCTGCAACGCTCCGCTACAGGTGCCGACCCTAGGAGTTCCTCCTTAAGAACGTCTCCCCCCCACCCTTGGAGTCACCTCCTTAAGGCTGGTATTCATTCCTCCCACCAAACCAACCCCAAAGGAGTTTCTCCTAGGGCTTTATTTCCCACCTCCAAGAGGTACCCTCTGGAAAGCCCTGGCGAGTTCCTCTCAGGGGTCCCACCGCGCCTCGAGCGCAAAAATTCCCTCAACGCCTCCGGCGTAAACAGCACGAAAACGCTAAAGTGTAAATCAGGAAGATTTTACATTCGTATTTGAGCAAACTATGATAGCTACTTCAAAATTGGGCGTGGTTAATTTAATTACAAAATAAAATGCAAAATTACAAACACAATATTTCCTAATTGGGTATAACCATTTTTTTCCGTGCGACTTCAGCAAACTTTCGATGTCTAATAAAAGCCAAACAGGTAGTCAAATCAACTTGAAAGTTTGGTTCTTTACTAAGCTATTCATGTACACTAAGTATGCTAAATTTCATAAAATTCTGAGGGAGTTACTTTTTCAAAGTGGCACCAGTTGGCATGGAATGACCCTTTCAGTTGTATTTGAAGTAAATCTTCAAGGTCATTGTGTAATTGTTTTGAGTTATTTTTCTCCAGGTACTTGTGTATTACGAAATAAATTTGCCAACCCTTGTGACGAAAAACTTCTTCTCAAAATGCAATGAAGACAAAGATTTGAAGGAGATGGTCAATCATTGGAACCAGAGGCAGCTTGCTAAACTAGTTTCATCTTGCCTTTACAAGAAACGCTATTCTTGACGTCAGAATAGCCTTTGGTGAAAACGCAAAAGCACTCAGCTCATGAATGCAGTTGGCCTTGATAACTTGACATTAAATCCTGTTACAGGAATGAAAGTGCATCAATCGAAGTCTGCTAATCTTTTCGACCCAAATGCTGCAAAGGAGCCTCCTCCCTCTTCTTGTAAATGCCAACTTCAAACCAGATTTTGCACCTTAAAAATACTTGTGTGTCATTTACGTGTTTGTGTTAATCCAAATTTACCTCTTGTCTATGTCTTATACCCAAGGTGATAAAATTAGCAACGCAAGCAGATGAGTCTTCCATCTTCTACTGTAAGTCTTTTAACACTACGTCATTTTACTAATGACTTCCAAAGAAGAATTTTCTTCGCTCATCCAAGCCCATAGCTCACCCAGAAAGATTTAGTTTGCAGAAAGGCGATTGTAAAATGGCCAGAAGTCCACCCTGTAAGGAGGCCACCTGTGAATTGCCAAGAATGTAGCCCAGCAACATTGCTTGGCAACTGTGCATGACCATTGGAGCAACACAATTTTTGAAACATATCTCCTTATTGTCAGACAACAGTGCATTCATATTTATTCCTCTTAATTATTGCAAGAATGTTGCAAGCAATATTACTGGCAACTATGTTAAATTTCATTAAAACCTCTGACTAAATGAAATTGACCCGAATGAAATGGTGAATGGTAATACAACATCTTGAGTCAGAGAGAGTTACTCAGTGTGAGACATGTCTTGATAATATTCCATAGTTACATTAGCAATATTGCTGCAACATTTGCTCACAAACTTGGAAATGTGTCTCAAAGGTGACATTGCCTCATGAGATTCCCACCCTCCACTGCAATGTTGCAGCACGGAATTGGAATTCTTGATGACTCAGGAATTATAATTTTTCTCCTTACAATCTCAAAATTAACAATGCATAACTCAAGGATAGAAATCAACCCAAATATTAGGGGAGACTCACAAAAAGATTTAAATTACTTCGCTGAGCGAGATCATTTCCCTATATCTGTAAATAGTTCATACAGTCCAAAAGTAAATTTTTTACTGTCTAGTTTACAAACTTGGGATTTTTCCAATTTCTAGGAACGTGGTATTGATTACTTTTCATGAAAAACATTTGTATGCTGACCACTCAGAAAATCCTAGAAAAGCATCTTGAGCGAGGAAGTGAATTGTGTTTGTTAAATGGAATGAAGATTTCTATTTTAAGTTTTCCCTGCAGCAATTTAATTTTGAGTCCCGTTTTTATCTAATTCTTTGCTTTTTAAACGTAGAGAAGTTACTTTGTTTGCCAAGATTAGGACCATAAATTTTACCAAAGTAAAATTCGAGGAACTGTAGAGATATTTCATTTTCTATCCTCTATAAAGACTTCTGAAAGAAAAAAATTTAAAAATGCACGGTGGAAAAACGTTATATTTATTGAGTTAAAGTCTCATGGTTTATATCAAAATAAAGAAAAAATAATTACATCAGCAAGGAAAATAACCTAATACCGGTAATAATCAGGTTTGAATGGTCCATCTTTCGGCAGCCCAAGGTATTTTGCTTGGTCTGTGGTAAGTTTTGTCAATTTTACACCTAGGTGTCCTAAATGTAGGGCTGCAACTTCTTCGTCCAACTGCACAGAAAGAATTGATAAACCGTAAATGTAAAGGAAGTGCAAAGTGGAGTGCAATTATAAGAACTTATATTCCTGACTAAGCCATGAAAACACCCATATCAGCATGGGAAAACCAGCAGAGCATGATCTATGTCTAAAATGAGCCGCATATAGTAATTTTTATCAAAGTAAAACTGTCAAATTATGGAAACTACGAATTTTTCCCGTGCTCCTTAAGTGTGACTAATAAACTTGAGTTACTTCGTCATGCTAATACCAAAAACTTCCATTGACTTTTTATCGTAAGGACAGATAGCTACCCAGTCAAGCCTATGAGATCTGAGACGGGAAGCAGAGACTCTATACTTAAATACAAGCACCTTGTATCAGCCTTCTGTGTGCTATTGGAAAATTTATATTATGATATCTCTGCAAAATCTCAACAGAACCCAAAAACCTTCGCCCTCCAGATCGCAGCATTGGTTTTCTCACATAAATGCAAAATTTTGGGCTGATTCATCAACAAATAAATTAATAATTGCCAATTAATTGTTATTCGAAGTTGGAAGGGGTTTTTTACACCTCCCTCAAAGCATAGCTGCACTTTTTTATGAACCACTAGACAAAGTACGAATTTCAGCATTCTGACAAATGTTTCTTCACCAAAATTTCACGTAAAACACGATGCGCACAACGAAAATTACCGAAATCAATACCTTACGAAGATATTTAATGATTCTTAATGCATGAATTCAAACCACCCGCTCATGAAAACTCAATGCTCTACGTGATTCACATCGCATGCTAAACGTTATCATAAACGTCTCTGCGATTAAAAAATCTGGCAACATCAATCTTGACGCTGTGGCTCAGCTATAGCAAATTACTTATACTTTGAAAAACACATGGTGGGAAATGAACATTGCTTGATTGAGAAGCTTGCTGAAATTGTTGTACTCGTTGTGCGCGATTTGACTCGCGCAGAGCTTTGAGTTTCTTGTGAGTGGGCAGTTCAAATTCCTCGTAACCAATGTGAAATAAAAATGTTAATATCTCCGTTAGAAGTTGGTTTCAGTAATTTTCGTTGCGCGAATTGTGTTCTACGTGAAATTCTGGTTAAGAAAAATGTATTAGAATGCTAAAATTCGTACCTTGTCTAGTGGTCCATTGTGTCATTGCTTTCTCCTAATTTCAAGGATCGTTATGGAAGAAAGGTTAGAAACTTTACTTACTCTTACTTTAGGATGCTAAATACTGATGAGTGGAATTTTGTAAAAATGAAAAAAATAGAGAGTAGAAGAAGTATAAATAAGACCCAAAATGAGGGATCATCACTGGCTATGGCAAACTGTTTCTTTCCTTTAGACAGTAAATGATTGGTGCTTGTATGGAATGAGATACAAACCTAAGCTAGAAATAAAGAAATGTTGTAGCATGTACTTGGCATCCTTCCTAGATGCTTGCCTATTTGGAGCCCTAACTGAGGCCTTCAGCTTTTACAGGTACCTTCAGATTAACTTGGAAGAATGAAGCGGGAATTGAGGATTTGAACCGGAAAATCGCGAAAATTTGGACTTCGCGCCGAGGAGCGGGCCTCTTAGTTTTGATTATTTTTCTAATTCTATAATAGCACCACTGAATTTTATAATCGCACCAATAAATTAATTTTTTAGAGGAAAGATGGAGTCTGCCAATTTTGGTAATGATCACTAATTTTGAGTCCTACTCATTTGTAAACAAAGTTCAATTCATTCATCTGCAATTTCATTCTCAAAATTGTTTTTACATTTTCAGTAAATACTGCTCTCTAGCATTATTATTCCTGCGTAAGAACTTAGTATAGAGTTTCCATTCTTCCTTTCATAAAAACCAATGAAATTTAATCAGAAAAAAAGTAATAGCGCAATTGAAAAGAAAAGGAATACTCATAGATTTCAGGGGGTATGGTGGTCATTACCAGATTAAATTTTTATCACTGGAACTGGCAACCCTTTTTTTTCCTTTGCTGCAGACCATAAAATGCGTTCTATCACCTTCATAAATTTCAAATAAGTTAACTGTATTAAAACTGAGAATGCAACCTTTCAAATAGTGCTACAGTCGGCCCCGCTTAATTGGGACACTGGTTAATCGGGACAACCGCTTTGTTGGGACAAAATCGCTCGGGACGGAATCTTTTATATACTACCAATGTACCAATAGGAAACTTCGTTTTGCCGGGACAAAAACCGCCCGGGACGAAAGTGTCCCAATTAAGCGGGGCCGACTGTATTGGCATTTTCATAGCTTCATTAGTTTTCACCAAAAATAAGGAAACACGTCTCTTTTAGAAGCCCATTAAATCCTCAGAAAATCGGCGTAAAACCGGGAAAGAACCGGGGACGAGAACGTGGGAAAAAACTTGACACCCTGAATAAGAAGGATCTTAGAAATTCGCATTAGCATAATAATTCCGGATATTAGCAAATTTCAAAGGCAAATACAGGGTGATCCAAAAGTCCCTTCCACTCCCTCTAACGTCTGTTTGAAACTTGGCAGATGTTCCTAGGTCAAAGGGAGCTACTTTATGGTCCCCCCTTAAATCAGGGGGCCCCTTGGGGAGGGGGGCAATGGACCCTAACTTTTTTTTAAATGGGAAGACCCCCCCCCCTTTGTGATTTCTCGGTCGAAAGAGCATAAAAAGAAATATTTTCGTGTAAACTCAAAGTTAATTTCTCAAACAGTTTTAAAATGGCGGTCGAAAATTGACACCTTGGTTTTTTGTCAATGGATTCGCTTAAAACTCGGTACCACGGGCGTATTTTGACACGCGAGAAACGAATTCAATGTTAGATTTTTAAGAAAACCAAAATTTCCAAACTGGCCGACACTTAAATTGCAAAATTGCCGAAAATGAGTATTTTTTTTTAGAACTACTAACTTCAAATGTGTTCATCCCTTGCCAAAATACCTCCGAATCCCAAGTTTCAGGCAAATCCATCAGCAAAAAACCGAGGTGGCAGTTTTTGGCCGATTTGAACTTTAACCGGCGGCCATTTTGGAAATTTCGCTATTAATGAAAATCTAACGTCAAATTCGTTTTAATGTCAAAGTACTCCTAAATACCGATTTTCGCACAAATTCATTGACAAACAACCGGTGTCAATTTTCGGCCATTTTTAACTTCAATCGGCCGCCATTTATGTACGGTTGGAGGTATTGGCCTTGGGTTTGTGAGAAGTTTTCTTTCTTCATGCTCTTTCGGACGAGAAATCATGAAGAGGGTATTCCCATTTTAAAAAAAAAAAAAGTTAGGGTCTGTTGCCCTCCATGGGGGCCCCTTCGAAAATTTTAGGGGGCTAAAAAGTAGCTCCCTTTGACCTAGGAACATACATCTTTACCTGAATTACATAAATAGTTAGAGGGGGTGGAAGGGACTTTTGAATCACCCTGTAAAATGTATTAACGATGGGTGCGCCCAGTTGTCAATTGCATAAACTCCAAGCTCACCTACTTTTTAGAAATTTAAGGACGATAGGTTAGTTGCGCTAGTCGCAGAATCGTGTTTTGACGCCTGATTTTTGGAGATCAGCTATAAATAATAAGATCTGCCCAAGCAGCAACTTTCTACGTTCAATATTAACTGAGATATTGCGCTTTGAAAAATCGGGTTTTGACGACGCTATCCACCGCGGTAGTGACACCCTTGATTGCTTCCACCTTCCTTTCATTTGACAGAAAGACACAAAGTTTCACTGGTTCTTCAAAGTTAAGCTCTGTTAAAGGAAATATGGAAGCAACCTAGAGTGTCACTACCGCAGTGGAAGATTTCATACACTGAAGTTTTCAAAGCACAATATCTCGGTTTATATTGAACGTAAAAAAGTGCAGCGTGGGCAGATCTTTTTATTTTTAGCTTACCTACAAGAATGAAGCATAAAAACTTGATTCTGTAACCAGCGCAAGAGACCCAATTTATTGGAGCTCCACGCTCCATTTTCAACAGTATCACGACTGGTCTTTGGTTGATTGATCAACCAAGCAAAAATCACAAGTTTAAATTCTGCACCTCAAAAAATCAGAATTATTCATTAGATTTTTGAAAGGGCTTTGAGCACATCTTGAAAGACATGTTGGACATCAGCAATTTCCTCAGTAAGCAAGAAGGATTAAGAAAATCAACACTGCAACAAGACAAGGCGCTCACACAAGACAAGCTCAAAATACGCAACTTCGAGCTCGTTTTTCATGGGTAACAATTGTTCGACAAAAACGGGGGAAATTCCTGTGAACTCTACGCTCTCTCTAGTTTTTAAAATACAGGAATTTAACATTACTAACAATCTCCGTCCGTGTTGACTGCAATCAAACAAGAACTGCAATGAGCTTGTTTAGTAATGTTAAATTCCTGCTTTTCTAAAAACAAGCAGGAATTTTCCCCGATTTGTTTGAACAGTATTAACCGACAAAAAACGAGTTCAAAGTTGCGTAATTTGAGCTCCTACTGAAACGCGCTTCAGAGGGTCACTTAAAATGGTTGCGGCGAATGCTAGTCACAGATTGGTCACACTCGTTGAGTTGATTCTGCAGCGTCCCAAGTCAGCACGCAATGTCCTGCAGCCCTTAGGGCTACAGGACGCTGCAGAGTTAACTCAACAAGTGTGGCCATTCTCCAGTGGGCGTTCACCGCGACCATTTTAGTGACCCTCCGACGCGCATTTCAGTAGGAGCTCAAAATACGCAACTTTCAGCTCGTTTTTCGTGGGTTACTGTTGTTGAAAAAATCGGGGGAAATTCCTGTGAACTTGGTGCACTCTCTAGTTCTTAAAATACAGGAATTTAACATTACTAAACAATCCGTTTGTCAGTAAATTTTGAAAAAATTGTAAAAGTTTTAAAACAGTTAAATCAATTTCAGAACCTCAAGAGATACTCCAATGGGTTTCAATTTTAAAGGAAAGCTTTCTTCAAAGTTTTGTTAAGGTATTTCCACTATCCATTACACAAATATTCCATTCTAGAATAATTAAAAGATAAAATAAACCGAAGTCTTGTGATTTGGATGATTACAAACTTTATCAGATTGCACAATTTAGTCACCTTACTTGTACTTTCCAGTCCTGATTGATTGAAAGCCCTTTCTTTTTAAACAACAATGATCATTTTGAGCTCAATACAAAACTCATCCTCAGATTAAAGCTGATCACAATCAAGTCCAAGAGTTGAAAAAAACAAAAGAAGAAGTAACGGAAAAATTAAAATAAGAAAACCAAATTAAGACTATTCTTTGATGTTTACGTGAATTCGTTGTGATCAGTACTCCATCTGGTGGTGAGGAATGGCAGTAATACCAGGGGTGCCACTTCGCTTTCGATCCGAGTATTCAGCAGCTTGTCTGAGTTCTTCCTCTTCTCAATTTGCAGCTGTTCTAAATGTTTCTGATATTACCGTCATTCCTTACCACAGGATGGAGTACTGATCACAACACAATCACCTGAATGTCGAATGGGTTTTAGCCTTAGTTTTGTTTTTGTTATTTTATTTTAATTTTTTCATTTGTCCTTTTTTTTGTTTTTGACAAGTTTTGCACACGATCGCAATCAGATTTAACCTAAAGATGAGTTCTGTATTAAGCCGAAAATAATCATTTGTCGCTTAAGAAGAAAAACCATTCGATCAATCAGGACCGAAAAAACAGGTAAGGTAACCAAAATCTTGTGAAATCATAGAAAACTCAAAAGAAATTGCTGAACATAGAGCTTCAAGAAATTAGCATCATTGCTTTAGAGTATTCAGATCTTAATTAAAGTCAAGTTTTTAAAAAATTTCGGAAATTTTTTTATACCTTCTTCGGAAGCATGTGAACACCAACTAAATAGTCTTTCGGCTTGGTCCAAAGTTCTATTTGAGCTAAGGTTTGATTGGTAAATGAGTTGCTCATAACAAATGATGGATGACCCATTGCACAACCCAGGTTGACTAACCGACCTTCAGCTAACAGGATGACATGCTTCCCATTGGATAATTCAAAACGATCAACCTGCAAATCACACACTTATAAAAAAAGCAATTGAAATTTTGGACCCCCTACATCCATTGCATAATATTCATTTTCTCTGATTACGCCCTTCCTTATCAGATGATTTCACCAAAAATGACCTGAGGAAGTGTTAAAATGCAAAATCTCGCTGCTTGTGGTTGATTTGGTGGCATGAGTGATCTTGTGTGCTGGTTACACGGTCAAATTCCCATCACTTTCCGATCAAATGGTGACTGGTGCGCACCATCTACCATCAAATTTCTGCGGCCTGCAAAAATTTGATGGTAGATGATGGAACTGTGGGGCTCATCCTTCATCTGATTTTCACACAACCGTGCTTATTTCATGCTTATTTCAATCAACACGCTGTTTTAATTAATTTTACTCATCAATATAGATAACTCTCGACCGCCATCTTGGTCATCATTTTGATTGGAATTTGAGGGAAATTTGAGCGTGAAACCAGGCCATTGGGACTCAGAACATACCAGGTCTCAGCATGGAATAAATAGACTACGTCAACAGAAGCGAAAGCAAACGGCATTTTTATGACATTGAAGTGAAAGTAAGTCAATAAGTACTGTTAGTGTCTGCGGCATATCAACGTTCTGGAGAGGCTGAATAATAACAGATACAGACGTTTTTAGGAATTAAAAGAGGTTTCTTACACTAATTTACCGTTCATCCGGAGGAGTACTGTAAAGTTGCCTAAAATTTTATGTTCGGTTCCAATTTTATAATCGTAGGTTAGCCTCCAGTCAGGTTTCAATAAGTATGAAAATTGACCGACCCTGGGAAAAAAAATGTTAACATTGGTTCTTACGGAGCTTTAGCTTCTGTTGACGTAGTCTATTTATTCTATGGTCTCAGCGCACACCGTTAACTTTTAAAAATCATTACTTCGGTCCAAATTGTTTCCCCAGGATTACTTGGGCATGTTTTAAAGATTAGACGGTCTTAAAAAAAAAAAAAAAAAATGGTTTTGTCATTCTATCCTCTAAATGCCGCAGCTCAAAATGTAAAAAAATTTATATTTTAGTTGCGGCAACGTGGCAACAATGGATGATTTAAAAACTGACCGATTTCAATAACATTAGCTAAAAAGTGATAACTTTTCCTACACTTTGGGACCAAGATAATTTCCTTTTGTCAAACCGTTCACAAAATATGCAAGTTTAAATTTTGAACTTTAGACTCCTCCCCCCCCCCTAACTAATCTATTTCAAAAATTGTCTGTTTTAGGGACTCAGAAAGTGATCCTCTATCAACCTTGAAAATATTTCGAAGATTTGGCTGAGGTTGAAAATGGCCAATTTTGAATAAGGTGCTTTCAGGAGGTTGTGTTTATTTTTCCGACAAAATAAACCACATCCATGTCCCTAAAGATTTTTAATTGATTTTACTTGACACGGCAATCATTTACAGTAGTATCAGCATTGACCTAATCATCGGTTTTTTTTTAATAATCATCGAGCCAAAGTTGAACATAGTTTTTCTGTTCCTGAGGAGCAGTTTTTCAATTTTAAGATACCTTTCACCATCAAATATAGGATTTTGGAATGGGTAGGAGTGTATTAGCTAATATTGTTTACATTTTAATGAAGGAACTTACAGTAGATACACATGATGACATGACATCATACCTCATTTTACTTATCTTTACAAACAGTACCAAGAAGATATGTGCTCATTGTACCAATATTACCAACGTACGTTGGAAAGGAAGGACGCACGTTACATTAGGGTGCGGCTTATACGTATGCTAAAAAAAAGTTGGAAAAGTTCAGCTCCCCGGTTTCCAATAGGTGCCAATACATAAAAAATCATTCCGGTAAAGTTTCAGACCGATCGGAGTATTTTTGGAACTTCCACTGGCGACGTTTATACAAAAAAATTGTGTTTTTAAATTTTGCCACTGAATAGCCCACGCTGTGATCAAAAATAGCTTTTTTCTGCAAGAAAAACGCATCGTAGCGAAAAAGTGCATATTTACAAAATTAAAGACCGTGGAATTTTCATAAGAATCATATTAGATATGAAGACAAGTTTTAAAAAATCACCAGTAAAATTCATCCATCGGGACAGCTCCTCTCTAAGCTCAGAAAAATGCGCCTCCACTCTGACAGTATATGCAAAAAAAAAATTCGATTTTTTTAATGAAACGTCGCCAGCGGAAGTTCTAAAAATACTCCGATCAGTCTGAAACTTTACAGGAATTATTTTTTTATGTATTGGCACCTATTGGAAATCGGAAAGACGAACTTTTCCAACTTTTTTTTTTGCATACAAATAAGCCGCACCCTAGCAATACATGCGTACATAAGAAGGAGCTTCTAACACAAACCTGTTCCTTGATGTTCACTTTTTCTACACAATTTTTCTCCAGCCAGTTAACATCAATTTCACAGTCAAAATGACCTATATTACAGATTATTGAGTCTTCTCGCATGTGAAGGAAGTGATCTCCAGTAATAATACTTTTGCAACCAGTAGTTGTTACAAATATTTGTCCCTCTTTGCAAGCCTCATCCATTGTGGTAACCTGTATTCATAGGAAGATGAAATTAAGAAAAGAAAAATCCAATTGGAAATAGTCCATTTTTGAAGGGCTGAAATCGTGCAGGTAGTCCAGGCAAATAAGCCATGAAAAGGGCTATAGCCTGCAAAAATCCCGGGTAGCAATGTCTTCATCGATTCCTATGTAATTTTTGACGCTGAATCCGAATTTCAACTTTGCGCCATTAAATTCGGACCGGAAAGTTGCCAAATTTGGCAAAAATGGCCTAAAATCGGCCTTTTTTCCGGATTATGACCTGTAACTTGCCAAAAATTGATCTGACGATAAAATTAGTTATTTTCAGAAATAAAGCTCGTTAAATTTCCTATAAAAAAGGTTCCTATACCTTTTTTTGCTCAATGCAAAATCAAGCGCGCTGGCGGGCTCCGAACTTTCAAAAATGAGCAAAAATTGTGTTTTTCGCGGTTTTTGCCCGATGTCTCCTGTTTTAATCCTCCGACGAGTAATTTCTGGACAAATTAAATGAAAATGATAAAATTTACACCTAGTGAAATTAATTGATGTAAATAATAAGGATAACCCAACACATTACAGTATGCGCAATTTTCGCACATTTTACAAAGTTCGGAGCCCGCTAGCGCGCTTGATTTTGCCTTGAGCAAAAAAGTTTATAGGAACTTTTTTATAGGAAATTTAACGAGCTTTATTTCTGAAAATAACTAATTTTATCGTCAGATCAATTTTTGGCAAGTTACAGGCCATAATCCGGGAAAAAGTCCGATTTTAGGCCATTTTTGCCAAATTTGGCAACTTTCCGGTCCGAATTTAATGGCGCAAAGTTGAAATTCGGATTCAGCGTCAAAAATTACATAGGAATCGATGAAAACATTGCTACCCGGGATTTTTGCAGGCTCTTTTCCTTGTTTGCCTGGACTAAGGGTCATTTTACCACTAACATACCAAGGAGTCTACTGAAGTTTTTCAAAAGAATTAAAGTTCTTTCCGATTACTTTATTGTGGCACATGTCTTGAAACTTAAGGAATTAGTACAGTGGCATGTAAATTTATTGATTGGTTGTCTTTGGCTTATAGTCTTGTTAGGTCAGAGAGTATCAGCTGATACAATTTGCTTCAACAAGTCTCATTAAAATCAGATAATGATTAATTTTGCTTGGAAAGAACAAAAACATAAAATCTTCAGTGGCAAAAGGAATTAAGAAATTGAGTTATGAATTACAGCATTGAATATTTTAAGAAAGTAAGTAAGGCCGGGCTGACCGGCGAGACGTCCGCAAGGGGCCAAGGCACCTGGCAACTGCCGTCGTACACCATGAAGTTGGACCGTGCTCCTTAACCTCAAATCATTGACACATAGTGTATCCGCTATATTCCCGCAAGGCTCAACGGCCATCTGACAGCCAACGGTAGGTCCTATCAAAGCCTGTGGCAGACGCTGCAAAGCACGAATTTTCGAAGCACGGCCATGCCTCTACCGAGTTGGGCTGTGTTGCTGCAATCTTCACTGATAGGTAGCGCTGCCAGACGCGCACACTACCAGTGACCACAGATTTTTTCACAACCCAGTCGAACAGTGCAGACGGATTACTTACTAGGTGACTATGTCCCTCCCGCACCCTGTTACCTCAAAGGGTCAGGGTATTGGAGTGGCATAGTCATCCACGGTCACGATGACTGATATTTGGGCTACATTTTGCAATTTAGAACTATAAATTCTAGCCCGGTTTGAAAACAACGTATGTGCCATAGGGTGGTTCTTATTTTTCGACTTTTCGAAAATCAGATGTCTGGTCCCCCTAAGAGTTGTCATTTGGTGTAAAAAGAACCTACAAAAAATTTCAGCCCGTTCGGCTCATCCTAATTGGTGCCGCCGGGGCCGACAAGTCTCCAAGCGGGAACTTCAAATTCCGGACAATTGCGTTTTTTCGTCATTTCACGAATTTTCATCCGGCCAAAACCACCAGGATATCGAATTTCATGCGAATCCATCGGTAAACAGCCGTAAAACTGATTTCCCGCCATTTTGAAATTTGTCGGAATTTCAGATGTCCAATGAAAGATTCGTTCTTCTCGTGCCGAAATAACCCCGAATATCAAGCTTTATGCAAATCCAACGAAAAGCAGCCTAAATATCCACTTCCCGCGCTAGGCCGCCATTTTGACCGGCGCCATTTTGACCGGCGCCATTTTGAAAAGGACCGACTTTTCTGGAAAACCAATGCCAGAATCGTTTTTCTCGTCTCAAAATACCCTCAGATTCCGAGTTTAACGCCAATCTGTCGAAAAATAACGGAGATGTCAGATTTTCGCCATTTTGAACTTTGACCGGCCGCCATTTTGTCAAAAATCAACATTTTGACCTGCGGTTTGCGCCAAAAATTTTCTTTCTTTCTTCTCTTCCGAATGAGGTATCACAAAGGGGGGGTTCCCATTTAAAAAAAAAAGTTAGCCCCCGCCCCCCAAAATTTTGGGGGGACCAAAAAGTTGCTACGTAAGACTGAGGAACATTGCCAAAGTTTCAAACTTTTATCTCGATTTGGAAAAAAGTTACAGGGGTGGTCAGTGACTTACAGATGATCCTGTATAAGGTAGCTAAGCAAGGGACTAAAAATTCAAGGCAATTAGGGGTTTGTGAAAGGAGGGGTATCGATAAGGGCCTTTTTTGGCCCCCTCCTAGAATCTGGAAATTTAGGCGGGTTTTCCGAGTTGACTCAATGTAGTTTACGGAAATAATCATGATTCAGCCCAAAGACCACTGAATACGCGTTAAACAGTTGCCTAAACATAGGTCTGCAGGCGTATTTTAGCGAAAATTCGTGTTTTTCTATCACTCCGAGGCTTTTCTGACATCGAGAGCGTCGTCTAACTAGAATGAGCTTTTGATATGTTATCAAGGAGGCTTTAGGACACATTTTAACTCTGGTTTGGTTTCAGTTAGATGATGCGCTCATAGTAAAAAAAAAACTTTTACAAAAGTCGACGTTTAAGGGACACCAGCAAATATCATAGGGAACACGTCTCTCCAGCTGTATGCACGCTATGTATATTATCGAGGGCAGTTATCAAGCCTTATTAAACCCTTACAAGGAGATTTTTTTTAATTGAAGCCAAAAAAAACCTTACGACGTAATTCCCTAAGATTTTTGTGGATATCCCTTAAAGTCGACTTTTGAAAAAGTTTTTTTTTTACTATGAGCGCATCATCTAACTAAAGCCAAACCAGAGTTAAAATGTGTCCTAAAGCCTCCTTGATAATATATCAAAAGCTTGTTTTAGTTAGACGACGCGCTCTGTGTCAAAAAAGCCTCGGAGTGATAGAAAAACACGAATTTTCTCCAAAATACGCCTGCAGACCTATGTTTAGGCAACCATTTAACACGTATCCAGTGGACTTTGGGCTAAATCATGATTATTCCCGTTAACTATATTGAGTCAACTTGGAAAACCCACATAAATTTCCAGATTATAGGAGGGGGCCAAAAAAGGCCCTTATAGATACCCCTCCTTTGGCAGTTTTGGCATTACTCTCTTTATTTTCAAATTGATATACTTTGCTCGAGGTCTAGCATAGGATACAGAATGGTATATTAATCATTACAAGATTTCTGCGATTTGTCACCCACAAAACTTGGTAAAAAAAGTTAACGATTGAGTTTTTTACCAAATTAATATGGCACAGTATGTAATTAATAATACTTAATGATAACCAAAGAAACGATGAACGACTATAGTAATCATGAAAGATGTCACAGTATCTGTCAAAACTATACTTATTAAAAGCTCAACAAATCTTTCTAACAACGACCAGTAAATAAGGCGATAAAATTTGGATAAGTTTAGTAAAGTAATTCTTTCATGAAAAATGTACTGAGGAATTGAAATGAAAAAGAGGAGAAAACCTTACCTCATAACCTTCCATTGCTGCTTGAAGAGCATTAATTGGATCAATTTCAGTGATGATTACTCTTCCTCCAAAAGCCTTTAAAGATTGAGCACAGCCTTTACCAACATCACCATAACCTGCTACAATACAAACTTTACCTGCGAGCATAATATCTGTGGCTCTTTTGATACCATCAATCAAAGATTCACGGCAACCATACAGGTTATCAAACTTACTCTGAAACATTAAACAGAACATGTGCTCACCAATCCAATGAATCTACAAAGAAAACTTGAATAAACAATGTAACCTATTTTGTATGACTTGACTTTTCATCCAATTAAGCGAGTACAAAAGTTTCACAAACAATAGTTTACATAGGCTGTCCCAAAAATACTGTAACAGTTCGTTGTTTGAGCCAAAAAAGAGCTAGCCTATTGCAGTTTGCATAATTAGTGTATTTTCCAAAGAAAATACACTATTGCATTCTCCCATGATGTCGGACCCAGACCCGAGACCTTGTGGAGAGCACCGATCAAGGGTCGTAGATCACGAAAATATATGCCATTCAAATTCTTGTAAATATATATATGTATGTTTGGTTGGTAGATACATTTATTTGGTGCTTTTAACAATTGAGCCATTAACACCTTAGAGGATAGATCAAAATACAGTACAGAATTTAAAAATTTAGAAAGTAGGGGTCACAAAAAGGGAGTACAAAATTAAAAGTTAGGACAAGTATATATGTATATATGTATGTATGTATGTATGTATGTATGTATGTATATAGGTAACAATTTAATGTAAATGGCACAAAATATGTAAATGAAATGAGAGGAACACGGGGTACAGGCTGTAAATAGAAGTAATTTGGACGCGACGTTTCGGGTTTCACATTCCCTTAGCATTCCTTATTCCTTATTTCCCCTGACGCATGGCCTGCTTGCTTCAAATTACTGAGGAACCCCATTTCCCCATAAGAAGCCGTGTATTTTTGGAGAAAATGAGGGGCAAAACAAATTTTATGCGAATAGGCTATGGAACATGTCAATTCTACGTAACTTTTCGCGTAAAATCCAAAACTGAAGTCAGAACATACCCTTGCTATTCAAAAGTTTCGACTTACGGCCCTCCAAAGCCCCAAATTTTTTTTTGGGGGGGGGGGGTCGTTAGGGTGTTTCTTATTTTTTAAATTTTCGAATTCGAAGGAGGTCCTGGTCTTAAAAGTTGATGTAAGGATACATTAGAAGCCTCGTACAAGGAAAATAATTTATAACAATTTTTACCCGGTGCTCAAACGACTTAAGTGACACAAGTTGAAATTTGAGATTTTTAGATCAAATAACACTGTTTTCCCATGGCAAACGCCGAGTTACGGCCCCTGAGGGCGAAAATTTCGAGAGTCTTCGTTCACAACATGAGACACAATGTAGGGTTGCCGAATCCGCCTGTTCGCCAGAACGCACCATCTAACTAATGTTTGGGGTCATAATTTAAAGACAATTATTTTCATGATCTCTTACAAGTCACGGCCAAAGTCAATAAAACCATACAAAAATAATAAAAATAGTCAGACAAACATTTTAAGACTGTAAGCCTTTAAGTAAACTGTGGATTATTTGATTTAGTTGATTAACTTTGAATTGTTTAATTTGTTGAAATTGATATTCCTACATAAAGCCAACATTTTACAAAGAAAATTTGTCTTTTTGATGTATTTATACATTTCAACTGTTTTTTAATGTTAAAGTGTATCCAGGTCAATTCGTAATGATACATTGCAACGGACGGGAACTTTCGGGCCCGCGTAAGCATAGTGCGTGCGTGCGGCATGTCGCTTAGGCAGTGCACAGGACGCGCGCGCGTTGCGCTACGGCGCGGCGCGCCCATTTTGCTCCTATAGTCTCTCGTTGCGCGCGCCTATCTCGGGTGTTTTGCGGCTTTTGCGTTGCAGATACCCAAGTAGCCACGGTTGCAACTTGTTGCAACAACATCATAGAAAAGTTGCAACTTTCTGACGTAACTTTTGTTGCAACTTTGTTGGAAGAAGATGGCAGGAAAGTTGAAACAAAGTCTCAATATTTTTGCAACTTTTTCCTCGAACTTTTTGGGAGGAATTTTAAACAAGTAAAGTGAACAACAAACAATAAGTAACAAGAAAAATGTTAATAGTAATTGTACCAAATATGCCATTTGATTTATTTAAGTAAGACAAACTCCTGGAGGTACTTGTTTTTTCTGCATTCATGAAGCAATTTGTGATTTCTCTGGTTAAAGAGCGATGAGGTTGACAATGCTGCGGAAATTGAGCATCTTGGCTTTTTATATTCAGTAAATCCACTAAGAAGTTCTGCTACACAGTTTTCTGAAAAGAAATCCTACATTTTTTCTATGAACAGATTTGGCAGTAAATCAATATATATATAATAACCTCAGATTGTATGCCAAATCGCACAATTTAGCTGCCCTGCCTAGCTTCATACACTCAGACCCAGATGTGGATCGCCCCTGGTAAAAAAGACGACTATGCTGCGAATATATAGCATAGTCGTGTACATATGTGAGAAGTCGCAGTGTAGTCACATGGTTGTCAAGGGTAGTGATCAGTATGCCCAGTGTATTCGCAAGGTAGTTGCAAGGTGGTCACCGGCTAGTGGTCGCTATGAATGTGTAGTTGCAGATCAATGGTAGGTATCCGCAAGCATAGGTGCATATGTTTATGTACCTACCTTTACCCGCTACACATGTGACTACACAACTCTGGGACACTTAGTTGTGCAACTACATATTAACATCACCTTTACATTATGCCTCAGACTATGATTTAATTATAGCATACCGACGGTGAAACTGCCACACCAGCCAGATAGCACCCAATGTTCTGAGAATATTCCGACAATGTTCCTACATTTTAAGCAGCTTTTAATAATGAGAGAATATTCTGAGAATATTCTGTATCAGCAGCTAAACTCAGAATATTCTCAGCATGTTCATCATCTTCCACTACGCATGTGTAGGATAATCTTCCAGCTACATTGGCATCATGCAAGGTAACAACGGATGGGGTACGACCAAACGGACGAAATTTTCGCCCTTAAAGACCGTAACTCGGCGTTTGCCATGGGAGAACAGTGTTATTTTATCTAAAAATCTCAAATTTCAACTTGTGTCACTTAAGTCGTTTGAGCACCGGATAAAAATTGTTTTAAATTTTTTTCCTTGTACGAGGCTTATAATGTATCCACACATCAACTTTTAAGACCAGGATCTCCTTCGAATTCGAAAATTTAAAAAATAAGAAACACCCTAGGGTCGTGGCCCCCAAAATTTTGGAGCAACAGGGGTCACATGGCACATCAATAAAATGGTACTGATCTCTCCTCTCAGGAGATTTTTAGATTTTGAAATTTGGATAGTTTGGCCGCTTACAGCATCAAATTGAAAATTGCCTCAAAAATGCCCCATAACTCAAAAAAATTGGGGGTTTAGGAAAAAAGTGGAAAGAACAAAATGTTCTTATTTTTTGCCGGAGATTACGAATCTATAGTCAAAACATACCCTTCCTATTTGAAAAAACCGAGAAACGGGGGGGGGGGCTTCCCCCCAAGGGGCCATTTTGGGGGGCTGAAAATATTTTCATTCCATTCTTTGGGGTCGCTTTACCCAATGAAAGTTTTTGTCCCGAAGCTCAATTCTCCGCCGTTTTCGAGAAAAAGATAGTAGACGGGTTGTCTGGATCACCCTGTATGTATGAATGGTTGGTTGGTTGGTATATATATTTATTTGGTGCTTTTAACAATTGAGCCTTCAACACCTTAGAGGAGGGATCGAAATATAGTACAGAATTTAAAAAGTTTAAAGGTAGGGGTCACAAAAGGTAGTACAAAATTAAAAGTTAGGACAAGGAAAGAATACATTTGTATGTATGTATGTATGTATGTATGTATGCATGTATGTATGTATGTATGTATGTATGTATGTATGTATGTATGTATGTATGTATGTATTTCCGCCTTTTTAAGATTTTTCGATTTTTCAGTAGTTATATCTTTCTTACGTTGAAAGATATTTTGACCAATTTTTTTGCATTTAGTAGAGACTTATTAGAACTACTATTCTGCGAAAAAAAATTGAAATTTGAGGCAATAGATTTTGAGGGGTGGGACTCGAAAGTGGGGGGAGGTCAAATCTTGTCCACTCGATAACTCGAGCGAAAATGAATATTTTGAGCTGAAATTATTACGGGTGGTAGTTCTCCCCTAGGACTGGTTTGGTATTGAATTTGAGCTGAATCGGCCGAGCCGTTTAAAAATGGCGAGCTTTGAAAGTTTTAGGCGAAGGGTGCGCGGCATGAGGGGAGCCGGCCGGAGCAGGGCCGCACAGTGGGTCGGGGGAGAGAGTTTTTGGACAAGCTGATCGTCGCACAGTGGGTCTGGGGCAGGGAGTTTTCGGACAAAATTTTCGTCGCACAGTGGGTCAAGGGGAGGAAGTTTTTGGACAAAATTCTCGTCGCACAGTGGGTCAGGGGGAAGAAGTTTTTGAACAAGCTTTTCGTCGCTCAGTGGTTCAGGGGAAAGAAGATTTTGGACAAACTGCGCGTCGCACAGTGGGTCAGGTGAAGAAAGTTTTTGGAAGAACCATTCGTGGCACAGCGGCCCAAGGAAAGGAAATGTCTGGAAAAAAACTATCGAATACACAATGACTTACAGACGTACGATTTTATGACTACAAAAATCCCACTTCGGGAAATACACTTCCTTCCCGCGGTGGATGCGCGGGACACTTAAAAAGAAGGAAAACTAGATGCGTAAACGACCCTGAAAAGACGCGCGCGTCATGGGGGGGCTTGGGGGGCGAAGCCCCCCCCCCNCCAAAACCGGCGCGGAGCGGAGCGGAGCGCCGGTTTTTTGAGTAATAATATCTTTCTTATGTTGAAAGATATTTAGATCTATCTTTTTGCATTTAGTAGAGACTCATTAGAACTACTATTCTGCGAAAAAAAATGAAATTTGAGGCAATAGATTTTGAGGGGTGGGGCTCGAAAGTGAGGGGTGGTCAAATCTTGTCCACTTGATAACTCAACCGAAAGTGAATATTTTGAACTGAAATTTTTATGGGTGGTAGTTCTCCACTAGGACTGATTTGGTATTGAATTTGAGCTAAATCGGCCGCTCGTTGCTTTGAAAGTTTTAGGGGNGGGGTGCGCGGCATGAGGGGAGCCGGCCGGAGCAGGG